AATTGCAGTGGAAGTCTTTTAGATATGATGGAGGTCTAGAGACTCTACGGGGTCTATGACTAATGGTGGCATGAGGTATATTTGACTCAGGATGTTCAGGAATGGATTGTGCACTTGGGATATGAACTGGGGAAGAAGTGGGATTACAATCCACATGCATATCATGTGGAAGAGATAGTGAAGATGAGGGTAAAACCAAATCAGGAAAGGGTCCAGTACTTCATCATTACTTCTGATAGCATGAAAAGGAAATATATCTTCGTGGAACACGACATCCCTAGAGATAAAGATCTGCTTTGAAGATACATCAAGAAGTTTGAAACCTTTGATGCTTGATGGATAGCCCAAGAAGACACACATTCTAGCTCTTGGCTGAAACTTGATCCTGTGGGCATTAAGTGTAGATGCAAACCCCAAACAACCAAAAACTCTCATGCAAGAGTAGTCCACTTTCCTGCCATGTAGTGCTTCAAATGGGGTTTTGTGATGTAAGATGGGAGCTAGTGTTCTATTGATTAAGTATGCCGCAGTTAGAACACATTCTGACCAGAATTTAATTGGAACTCTGGATTGGAAGAAAAGGGCGCGAGCCACATTCAGAAGGTGCTGGTGCTTGCGTTCAACAACTGAGTTTTGCTGTGGTCGCTCAACACAACTGAACTGATGAATAACTCCCTTTTCGGAAAAGAAATCTTTGAATGATAACTCACCGGCATTATCTGATCTAAAGGATTTAATGACAGCATGAAATTGTGTGGCAACCAAGTTGAAGAATCTGTGTACAGCTCCTACAGCATCAAATTTTTGTCTTAACATGTAAAGCCACGTGAATCTAAAATGATCATCTACTAGAATCATAAAATACCTATAACCAGAGTGAGATGTCACATGATAGGGGCCCCATATATCACAATGTATGAGATCAAAGGGCTGATTCGAGAGATGATTGTGTGATTCAAAGGATAATCTCCTTTGCTTAGCTAGGGGACATATGTAACAAGGTAAATGCTTCTTCGACATTTCAGTATCATACAGCAAGTGATCTTTTAATACATCTAGCCTTTTGAAAGATAGATGCCCAAGTCTATTGTGCCACACACGGGCAGAAACAGAACCAATAAATGCATCAGAAACAGAATTAAAATCTTTTGTATCCAGTACATATAGGCCTTGAATGATGCTACCCTTGCCAATCATCTTTCTACTCGAAGCTTCCTGGATGATGAACTGATCATGGAAGAAATTCAAACTGAGATTTGTTCCAGTAGTTAAAGAACTCACTAACAGTAGATTAAGCTTGAATTGTGGAACAAAAAGCACATCACGTAGCATCAAATTGGGTCCTAATCTGACATCACCACATAGACTGACAGATATTTGTGTGTGATTAGGCAAAGTGATGTGTGAATTAGTAATAGGCCTCAATTTTATGAATGCTGCAGCAATAGAGCATACGTGTCTCGAAGCCCCTGAGTCCACAATCCAAATATTTTTGCAAGAGAAGGTTGGAATAACGGCAGAATGATATATACCTGCAGTATATGTGGAATCATTCTTGTCCAGATCATTTGGAGTAGGTTGTGAGTTGGAGGCCAGATGAGTTGACAACATCGTCATCAAGTGTTGGTATTGATTGGAATTCAAATTTTGCATGAATTTCTCAAGGCCAACTTGTTGATGTATTGGCTTTTCCTCAATCTGTGAATTGACAGAAATCTGATTAACAGCATTAGATTTAGAAAAATTTTGGAAATTGTCTCTTGGCTTTGATTTAAAACCAGGTGGAAAACCATGAATCTTATAGCATTTATCAATGGAGTGTCCATGATATTTGCAATGTGTGCAATATGCTCTTTCCTTCTTCTTGTTGTTGACTCTTGTACCGTCATTATAGGAACCAGAATTTTGTGTTCCTCTGCCATTATCAGCTTTGAATGCAAAAGCAGCTCCTCCATTGGAATCAGCACCAATTGAAGATGTGCGTATTTTCCTTTGATTTTCCTCTTGTGATACCAACGCAAAGACTTTGTTAACTGGAGGCAAAGGATCCATGAGAAGAATTTGGCCTCTAATTTGTGAAAAAGAATCATGTAATCCCATGAGGAACGCCATGACATATTCAATCTGATAGTATTTATTCAACTCTTGAACACCTCCACAATTACATTTTCCATAGCTACAATTAGGTCAAAAATCACTCAATTCTTCCCATATAGTCTTGAGTTTAGTGAAGAATACACTTACAGTGCTTTGATCTTGCATCAGATTCATTAGTTCTCTCCTTAATTGGAAAATTCGAGGTCCGTTACTTTGTTGAAATCGTTCCTTAAGATCATTCCAGATCTCATGAGCTGTGGAGGCATAGATCACGCGGGCTTATATGTCCTTCGAAATGGAATTGAGGATCCATGATATCACCATATTATTGTTCCTAATCCATGAGTTTACCAGATCTGGATCAGAAGCATTCGGTTTCTTCATGGATCCATCGATGAATGAGAGTTTATTTTCAACTGTCAAGGCAATGGTCATTGCACGGCTCCAGGAAGCATAATTTTCTCCCGTGAGCTGCTGAGATACCAACACCAACCCAGGGCTATCGGAGTGGTGTAAGAAATACAGAAGGAGCTAACTAACTACAACCAACTAATATCCAGCTAGCAAACTAACTTTACAGTTGGCATGGAATATTCCAGCTTCCTAACTAACTTGCTATACAATATACAAAACGTAATAGTTCTCCCTGAATATATATAACATTTCCATATTGATACAATCCAATTTAGCCAAACCCACCCAAATCAAATCTTCAGAGAAATCAGAAGGTGGCAATTTAGCAGCCATGGCCCATGGACATAAGAACACAGCAGGACTAATGACAACCCAAAAGAAAATGACATACGTTAGGGAGCAAGACACAAGTCCTCATTTAATTCTTAGACGCCTGAGATCATAATTGCTCGCCCAGTTCCACTGATATCAGCCTCCACGTCATAATTTGCCCTGCAAAGTGCAAATACGAGGAATTCTGTTAGGAAAGTGAATGTGGTAGAGCATTTACTGTAAGTGTCAAAAGGTTCAACCGAATGCTAATACATCGAATATTAATAAGATAGTTGCCTTTTTTATCTTATCCAATACTGTCCAAGTCATGTTGAGTCTGCGTACTTAAAAGGAGTAATACTGGATTGCATATATATTGCAAAATTGTGTTGCAACGAGTTTGATTCATACTTCCACTTCAGCTCACATTCAGCTTTCTCGGATGAAGCATATACAACCTCCGCATCACCAGGTCATCAAGCTGCCATTACCAGAGGGCTTTTCTAGACAGACAGAACAAAAGACTATGGTTATGCTGAAATGGAGGCAAGCAATGCATAAGTAATTGGTGAGCAATATACATTGAGAACCTATTGTCACATGTTTGGTCAAAAATGCTGATTCTCAAAAATTGAATCAGGAAATGAACTTGTTCCAAGTATAGTGTAGAAGACATTACAACTTAGCTGAAACAAGTCCAGCATTGGATTTTGGCAAATTCCTTGACAAACCTTACACACGCCTTCCTCAATTTCTCAATCAAAGATATAAAAAATCCCCAGCAACAATTCTCAATGTCATACCCAAGTATCATAAAATGAATATGTCTATAAATAAAAGGTATTCAAGAAAAACTTGCTCATGATATAAGACGGGTAAAGAAGAAGTCGACATTCTCGGAGTCCATACCTACAGAAAGATCAGACACATTGCTCAAAGCAGCAATATGGCCATCTGCTAAATCCACCACATGGATATAATCACGTACCTGAAAATATAAACAACAGTAATCCATATTGGTGCATCAAGAACCAGAAAGCTAACCGTATATTTGTGTCCAATCATTTTGGCCTCTGCCTCCAGATAACAACAACTTACATTCTGGTATGTTATCATTTTATTTTTTTCATTTTTTGGCCAAAATAAAGAATGATGGCCGCAGGTGGAAGCTATTAGCAAAACTATAGTTACAGTGAACCTAAAGTTTGAGAACAGTTGAACGTGGGCATAGACACATATAGGATACACTAATGTTCATGTTTACCAAATGAACAAAAATTGGCAGCAATGGAAGGCTAGTAACATGAACAAACATAAACAACAATGGTCACCGTCCAATGCTGTCAATGGCTTACTCCTGTGCCCATCTTTCGTTGCATAGTCAGATCCAAAAACTGTCAGTGCAGGTCCCCTGCCGACAGCTACCTGATGCACAAATGTCATGAGATTATTCGGAATTCCATGTGGATCTTCACCAATATAGCCACTAGGATGTGCACCAACTGGATTAAAGTACCTCAGTAATACGATAATCCATTCAGCGCCAGAGCTATAGATAACGCAGCATATTTCTTCTATGAAAAGCTGGAAAATCAATAACGTTAGGTGAACTCCAATAAGAGAAATTTGATAGAAATTCAGACAAGGGAACCAAGAAAGAAAAATAAAAAGAAAAAAGAAAGAGGACTATACACACAGAGACAGGTGTCATAAAGAAAACACAAAAATGCAGGTTCGCCCCTCAATGTGAGAGTTACATTCACTAGCAGCTATAGATTCTTCACTACAACGAAAAACGAGATTACAAGGAATTCCTCACACCTCTCTGTTTATACACATACATTAAAAGACAGCCTCTCAAATACTATCCGCATTTCCATAGAACCCGCTATACGTGTCAATCCAATTATCTTTCTCGCTCAAGTCTTCAGACTAGTTTTTGATGTGTAAAATGAATAATCCACAGCACCATACAGTCTTACTTTGAGAAGCAAAAAGATTTCCAAGCACAGGATTATCAAGAAGATCCATCTGCAATCAAACCCAAAATTTTCTCAAACTCAACAATCTGACACAATTTTACAATAATCTAAAAAAGGCAAAACTATGAGCATTAGAGGAATAGAATATAGATAAAGCAAATCAAGCAATCGAAGATCCCCAAATTCCCACTTCTTTTAATCACACTCTTCGCCGTACCAACCAAGAGGGTACACCTCTTCAAAATCATACCTTTGCACTTGGAGAAACAATTCCAACAGATCAATCAACAAAAATAGGAAAGGAGCTAGATAAACAAATTAATAGATACAGATCAAACACCTATCAAGCCTAAAATCCTCACTCCCACAATTAAATCTTCAGTTAAACCAGTAAAAATCAAACTTTACACCAGAATACAATTCTAAAACCCAAAATAATAATAATAATTTATAACCCCCCCCCCCCCCCCCA